TATGTATTATCCTCATTTTATAGATAAACTGGACAAGTTAAGTGACTTATTCAAGGTACTACAGCTATGAAGTAGTAGAGATGGAATTTGAAAATTCTTATCCTAACTTCATATTCAGAATTGTTATTTTACTGTATTCTCACTAAGTAGCCCATGTGGCAATTGAATCTGCATCCTGACTTCCACGACAACATGCTTTATAAACTATAGCAGTGCTTCCCAGCCCTGACATACACCAGAATCACCTGCAGCTGGCTGCTAGCGTATGTAGAGCTAAAGCACCTCATAGTTTCATAATTTGGGGAGATTCAGTCCAAGAACTTGTGTATATTCTTAAACCTTCTCCAGTAATTCCATTTACTGTCAGCATGGCAGCATAGAGAAGCCCTTGGCAACAACTATCCTAAGTAGTTAAACTAACCAATTACAAACAAGATTTATTACATTCTGTAAGAATGAATATATAGTCATATCTGCATCTTTAATCATACTCTTTTTAAACTATCCACTGATGACCTGGATATTCAGTTGTATAATTTTGAATATGCAGTGATTTCCAACCAGAGTATTTATAAATCCCTGAAAATAGTAAACCGTATTTCTTCAATACTAAGGCATACTTGTTTTCCTAAACATTGCTTAATATGTCTGAAATCATGATGCATCTTAGAATTAATGTCATCTGAAGAACCACTGTGAGCCAGGCAGCAGGTGTGACTCTTGATGTCGGGATACATTCTTTGGGGAACTTGGTTATTATTCCTGGCCATGGGAAGGGTCAGATAGCCCTCAGCTGGCCAGAAGAAAACATTTAAGGACCACCTGAGTCTGCTTATAGCCAAAAAAACTTAGACACCTACAGATTAAATCAAGAAGGTGCCTGCATCAAAGTTACTGAGTGGATGTCCGTAACTTGTAAGAAAACCCAAGAGATAATAGCAATTCCCTTTTAAACAAAGCTTCCTCCAAAAGTACTTCTTTTTTAAAGTCTTATTTCAAATACTACATCATAATTGTAGATATGCATGGAGTACAGTGTGGTTGCAGTTTATATATACATTGTCTATTTGGAGTGCAAATGCTTCACAACTACTCCCAGTGACAAAAAAAAAAAAAAAATTATTGTGAGCAAAGACCTGGACACTGACAGCCCTAAGTTGAGAAAAACTTTAGAAATCCCCTGGCCAGTTTGTTTCTCTTCTCATTGTCTTTATATATGAGCAAGAGTGATCGATAATTTTAAAATCTGGTCTAGGTCTGAAAGAACTCTTTTAGCAAATGTAGAAATTTCTAATGAAGAGAACATTGTGCCATACAGTTTGACGGCTGCTTCTTTCTTAGTATATGTAAAAGAATTGTGTATTATCAGTAGCATCTTAGATATGATGAAATATAATAGTATCTACATCATATTATTTTATTGTGCAGTTTATCACTTACTTCTTCTGTGTGATCTGCCCTGGTCAGCTCATATAAACAATCCTCATGATTATGCCTGACAAGGATCATCTGTTGCTTAACCAATTCTAAGCGTATTGGAAATTTTAGACATTAAAGAGGAGCTTCTTAGACATTAAAATATATCAAGATGATATTAAAAACTTTTAAAACTCTAGCAAAGTGTCCATTACAGAAATAAAATGTCCTGATAATTCTTAAAATAAAATTAATTTTCTTTTTGACAGGTGAAAGAGGCCATTCCCACTTTACCCTCTACCGTTAAATAAGTGGCTTATTTCTAACCAAGTTAAGCCAGGAGAGGAGTCCCTTTGTTTAACACTTCTTAAAGTAAAAGTTAACATCCTGCCTTTATCTAATTGCTATCGAAGACATTACCCTATTTGGCTCTAGCGTGATTCAATTGCATGAGGTCATACAGCCTCGCAGTGACTTAAAGTGCCTCACTTGGTGATAAGAAAATATATTAAAATGCTCTTCAGTTCATTAGTTGTTGCCTAAGGTCATACGTGATGGTTAGTCCATTTTCTGAGCTTTTTATGATAGCACAAAACTGAACTTACATTTTTAAGTCCTTCAATAAGAGAAACATAAGTTTTTAGAAATTATACTTATATTTTATTCTAAATTTTCTTTAAAACTAGTCATTTGTTATTCTTACCACCTGATAGAGGGGTTTGAAATAGGTTTAATGTTATTTTGTCACTGAAGAGTGCATAAAAGATCTTTTTTTTAGCCTGAATTCTGAAGATAAAATTTAAAACTTTTAGCCAAAAAAATCTGCTGTGTGAATAAGAAGGCTTGATTTCACTCCATTTTTACTTTGATTTCAAATCCTTCTGTATACTTTCATAAATAACCAAATGAGAGCAGGTCCCTCCACGTGCACCCTTTGTGTCCCTCATGAGCATGTGTTGCTTCATTAGGCGGGCTCAACCACCTGGTGTGGAATCTTTGGTCTCCAGAGACACTCTCAACATCTGGCATTGGCTGTGATCTTTGTATATGTAAGCTTAATCTTTCTATTGACATTTTATAAGGAAAAAGAATGTGAGACAAATTAGGAAAATGTATAGAACAATACAAAATAAGGCTATATGAGTCTGATATGCCGTAGTATTTTACAATATGTAGAAGAAATAAACCAGTAAATAGGAGGTTGGTATTTCAAATTAATTTATTTTAAAACTTAGTGTGATGTTTATGGATATCAAAGATATATTTATTTATGTTCTATAAAACATTTTTGTAGGGTTATTAATCTAGAGTCACACTCCAGTCATCCTTAAAAAGAAATTATATATTTTATCCTACTATTAAATAAATTGTTGCCACTTTGTCATGGTTTTAGTAGATTAAAATTTTAGGATGATTTGGTAGTCAAACAAGAAAAGGGATGAGTATCTCATTAGCCTTCCGAAAGACAATGTAATTGAGTTTGTGAACTAGAGAATATTGAAATAATATATGAAGAAGGAATGTCTTCTTGTCACAGAAAAACTAAAGAACATTATTATATCTTAAAAACTGGTAAAGAGGGTTATTGGGAAACTATAACTGAATTATTTATAATAAAGATAAAATGCTGTTGCTCTATTTTACATGAAAATTTTGTTTTTCACTACCTTAAAAACTTTTTAAGAATATTTCCAAAGCTAAATTATTTTAATATAATTCTTTAAATTATGCTATGCATTTAAAATGAACCAGAACTAGCAACCTGAGCAGAAAGTAAAGTTAGTATGTAGTGATGTGAAATGCCCTTCTTTTGCTTAGGTATTTATGTAGTCGTTGCATGTAGTATACTTAAATTTTTATTAGAAGCAAATTAAGAGTGAACTGTCAAGATGTATCTATTATTTGTATCTATATAATTTAGATAGACATTTGATTTCCTAATGTATTCATATACTTTTTGTATGGAAGTGTTGCAGTCATATGTCGTAGATCTGTAGGTGCATGCAGAGAAATTTTTGTTTGGAGCCCAAGAGATGGAAACTGATTCTGATCTTAATCTGCAGACCTGCTGAGTGCTCTTGATTAGTGTTCGTATTGTACGTGTACAGCTAAAATTGGGGAGATTATGCAGCTGTTAAATACATTGCTATTACAACTTAATGGGACAAAGATTAACAGCGTTGAACACTAATTTAATATTACACATTCACTAAGTGTAATTTTAACGGTTGAAGACAAACCTCTAATAATTTTTGGGATGACTGGGGGCATCATTTATTATTCTGATATTTAATGAGAGGTTAGTGCACTAAAATATATAAAGCTTTTGCTCTGCAATTATTATCTTTTGTTGCTCTATTTTGAGGTCAACTAAAACTGGTCATTTAGTCATGGTTTTCTCTGTAATGTAGTTGAGAGGAGACATATCTCTTTTGTTGATGTTTACTAGGATATAGCCCCAAAAAAGTACCCTTAAAGAAATAAAATAACTATAGATATACTTTTCACTGAGAACATCTTTGAGCATTTAAGATTATTTTTAATTTGGCTGTTGTAAAAAATGGTAAATATTCTTAACATAGACCCCTACTAGTCAGAAATGGTATTACATGCCCTGTTTATATAATGACATAAATTTAAACTTTCACAACTATGTAATTCAATCCAGTCTAAAACCACTCTAGTACAGAGGACCAGGCTTTCTTTGTTTCTTCATTTGGTTGGTTGGTTGGTTTGTTTGTTTGTTTTAATTTTTTTTCCCCCAAATAGGCTTTGCTTCTCAGATACCAGATAAAAAATGAGAAAGCTTTCAGGTGAATTGTCCTTGTTAAAATTATGTGCTTTAACTGATTGACAGTCGTTAAAGGGGGCAATTCACTGAAATTCCTAGGTAAATTCAGTTAACTGTTTTCTGTGTTTAACAGTTTAATATTTTGAGACAAGTATATCTTTTACTATCAAATTAGATGTTAGAATAATGAAAGTGATGAAAACTCAGTGTAAATTTTTATGGTCATGGAACATACCAACAGTGTAAACTTAAATTCTTTTGGTGTGAGTTAGAACATTCTGAGTAGAAAGTTCACATGTTGTTTACCAGAGGTTTCGTCTCCTTTGTAGGATATGAAAAAAAAAAAGATGTTTTGAAGAAAGTTTTTTAAATCTCAGTAGCATTTTCACAAGAATTTTTTTTAAATCTCTAGGTTGTACATATTTAAGATTTCCTTAAGTGTTAGATACATTCTTACATCCAGTAATCTGAGCAACTTCGTTGAAAATAACAATATGTAATATAACAACCATTGTTATTTCCTATTACTCTATTTTGAAATCCTGTATTGGTTTTATTGTTTTTATGTTGTTTTGTTTTTGTCTTTGTTATTACTATTTTGTTATTTTTTTTAAATTCTCATTACAATAAAAAAAGAAAAAATAATGTAAGACAACTTTAAAGTGATAATATATTTTCAATCAAATAATTCTTTGCTGATTGAACACTTTTGAGTATATCTGACCCAAGCTACTGTGAGGTTGTTTTAACCACAGAATGTCCTCCGGATAGCTGCACGTGACGTGGGACAGCGATGGGGGACCTTTTAGAGCTTTCAGTGGTAACGAACAGCCTGCTGCAGGATGCATGCCCTGAGTTTGCCACCACTGATGCAGAAAATTTACCTAAATGTACTCCTGCTCCAAAAGTTACTCTTGTATTTTTCCTCTAGAAAAAAGTGCCAGTTGGTTTTCATTAATTGAGGTTTAACCTGACTTCTCTTTTCAGGTACTTTTCAAGTTACATTTTATTTGTCTTCTCGGTGCCATTTTACTTTGTTTTTTTCCAATTAAAATTAAGTAAAGTCAATAAATGTTAGACTGTAAGAAATCTTAAATATCAATTTAGCTCAACTGTCTCATTACTATTCACACGTAAGAATTCATTTCCTTCTATCTCTACATATTGTGCTCACACACACACACACACACACACACACACACACACACACCCTTGCCTGGAATGTACAATGTACAGTGGTGGGGTGGGAGGACCAGAGGAGATAAATGTTTCTAAGACTGGTGCAAAGAAAGAAACTCTGAATGTTATCTTGCTTGACAAAGGGACTATTCCTCTCAAGGAAAGTAGTTCTAGAAGGACACATAGACGCTAGACTCAGTAGTAGGCACAAATAGGCAGTCTTAGCATTCAGCATTAATTTACTGTGCTCTGATTCCCACTTGACTCCAGGGATTTTACAGTAGTGTACTCTTCATTTAACTTCAATAGAGGTGGAGAATTTAGGGATTGAAATAAAAGGTAGAGAATTTGAGGAGTGAAATAAAATGAGCTTTGTTAAATCCCTTTTGCCAAAAGCTTCAAGAAGACCTAAGCATCAATTTTTTTTTGCCTTTTTTTTTTATTTTTTTCATCTTTTTGAGACAGGGTCTTGCTATGCAGTTCAGACTGGCCTTGAGCTCACTTTGTAGCCCAAGCTAGTCTTGAACTCCCAAAGAGCCTCCTGCCTCAGCCTCCTAAAGTGTTGGGATTACAGGCATGTGCCACCACGCCCAGCTTTATTTTTTTTTAATTATTATTATTATTATTATTTTCCTCCTGTCTCAGCCTCCCTAATGCTGGGATTATAGGCGTGAGCCACTAGGCCTGGCTAATCATCACTTTCTGAGTTGAAGCAATAGATTATTGCTCATAAGTAGAAGAGCAACAGTTGACTACCTTGCATTGGAGACACCAACAGACTTTAATTCTTCCAACCCAGTAGAAATCTTTGAGGCCGTTTTAGTCAGGTTCTGTATTGATATTTTGAAGTCTGGACTTTTAATTTGTTTGGAGAACGCAATGAATAAGAAGGGAAAGACGAAACAGAGTGAAAAATATAGGAAATATTTTTTGTCCCCATATCTCCCTTGTACAGTTGCTTCAACAACTCTTTTTTTAAAGGGATATTCCATATATAGGGCAAAGTGCAGAATACAGATATTTTATGTACCCCAAGAAGGCAAAATATTAAGAAAAACTGAAGGCTAGAATGAACGTCATACCTGGGATAGATGATAAAAATAAAGGAGACAGCGGTGGTTTAAAAGGCTGAGCAGTTTTGTTCTGCTGTGTTTTGTTTTGCCTTGTGACGGTGTCAACGTGTTATACAGCCGCTCACAGACTCCTGGGCTCAGTACCCTCCCACATCACCCTCCCAAGTGCTGGGACTTTAGCACCCACCGCCACTCCCCGCTAGCAAGTACATTTTCAAATAATTTTATCATTTTAAATGATAAAAATCTTAAACCTTAAATTATGTAAGATATAAACTATCTGAAATATTAAATTGGGGGAAACTTGAAATATTTCCTATTCCTAGGGCCGAAGTTGCTATTATATGTCCAGCACTATTATACTTTATCTGCCTTTTTCTTTCTTTCTTTTATCTTTCTTCCTTTCTTCTTTCACTCTTCTGTTTCTTTCTTATCTTTCTTTTCTTTTCTTTCCCACCCTCCCTCTCCCCCTTCCTTCCTTCCTTCCTTTGTCCTTTCATTCATTCATTTCCCTTATAACAGTCTGCTGAGATAGTTAACATTTTATAGATGAGGAAACTGAGACATGAAGAATAATTTTCCTGTAATTACTAGTGTGTATACAAGAACCAGGATTCAAACTCAGCTTATGTATCTCATGGTCTTGATCTGATCTTTTGTTTTGCTTTGTTTTGTTTTGTTTTGTTTTGTTTCCTTTTCTTTTCTTTTTTGAGTTAAAGTCTTACTGTGTAGCCCAGGCTGGATCAGACACAACCATCCCTCCTCAGCCCCTGAGCTGCTAGGATTACAGGTGTGTACCATCATGCCCAGTATCTTACTTTTTAAATATAGCATCTCAGTGGCCACTGAAAACAAAAAGCTGATCACAGTGGTGCATGTCTGTAACCCACCTCTCTGGGAGGCTGAGGCAGGAGAAATGCAAGTTTAAGCCCAACCTGGGCAACTTAGCAAGATCCTATCTCAAGGGATGTAGCTCAGTGTAAAAGCCCTGGGCTCAGTCCCCAATACCACACCAAAAAAAAAAAAAAAAATGGCTATAAAGAAAAATAGTTCACAAATTAGAATATTTCCATAATTACAAAGCTTATTAGTCATTAAATCAACAAATACTCATAGATATTTAGTGAATATTTATTAAATATATCACCTTATGAGGTATTAACAAGCACTTTATGATCTTTTTCCTCAAAAAGCTTCTCTTTAAATCTTAATTTCGTTGGTGCTTTTAACACTATACACAATCTTAATTTATCCCTTATATATATTTTCTTCCTAGAAAGCAGCTTATCCACTGTGAATCATTCATGCAGCATTTGGTTCCTGATTATACATTGTCTTAGTCACTCAGGAAGCTCGTGGAACAGAAATGTATTTTAATGACAGCTTAAATTAGGGGTCAGCAAACTACTGCCAACCAGCCAAAGCTGCCCTACACCTGGTTTTGTAAATTAAGTACTATTGGAATAAAAGGCACACTCATTTGTTTACATATTATCTGTGGCTTATTTTGTGCTATGACGGCAGATCTCGTAGTTGTGGCAGAGACCATGTGGCCTACAGAGACTAAAATATGTGCTGAGTTGCCCTTTATGGAAAAAGTATGCTAACGCCTGGTTTCAATCAACAATGTAAGCAATTATAATATGCAAATATAATTACACATACACATACATATGTTATATAAATAAAAGTGTATATGAAAGAAAAATTTTTTGGAAACTATTTATATTCTTTTGTGCTATGTGCCCCTAAATTTTTCTTGCCTAGCTTCCTTACTCTGGATATTAAATATTACTATTACATTCCTGATAGTATGTATCTCCAAGTCCATTGGGGCTTAAAATTTATTTTATGAATATTCTTCCTCTGAATAGGAATTTAACTTTGATTTTATGTATTTGTCACATGTGCACATACTTGAAATACCAGATCTCCCTGCTGATCAGGGTGGTTCTTTTCTGCTACTGGCACCTCCTTTGTCTTGGGAATTTTATTTTTCAAATAATGAAAAATAAATAACAGATACACTTACAAAAAAGAAATAAAAAAAGAAACATCAGATCTCTCTTTAAATACGATAGACCAACTTTAGCATACCTCAAAATCACATGGTAACTGACTTTATGACGCCTAAAGGTTCTGATTCAGTGGGTCCGAAATGGGGACTAATAATTGTAGTATTTCTAACGGTATTCAAGTACATAATATTGCCACTAATGATCTAGGGATCACACTTTGACAACCAGTGGAAAGCACCTTAAAGATAGTACAAGGGTAGGGCCGGGGATATAGCTCAGCGGCATAGCGCCTGCCTGGCAAGCGGGATATCATGATTTCCATTCTCAGTACCAAAAAAAAAAAAAAATAGTACAAGGGTAGCGGGAACCCTTAACAGCATTTACCAAGAGAGCCTAAATCTTTCAAAAATTTACCATCCTTTCCCAGAGGGGGTCTTGTTGTCATTATGGGTGTCACACTGCTTTATAAGAGGTGCTAAAGACTGCCCTCATAGGTGTTGACATAGCACATGGAATTCACAAGTTTAAACAAGAGCGAGCCATCTTTATGTGCTTGCGTACAACTGGGATGAGCCTATGTATGTCAAGTTGGTGCCGGTCCTTGGCACTAAACACCTAATCAACCTAAACTTCGCAAGAAACTAGGTGAATGAGTTCTGTGAGATTGACAGAGAACTGTAAAGTGGCTGGATGCAGGTATGTAGTAGTTAAGGACTATTAAAAACATTAGGCCAAGTGTTTAAGAAAGAGTATTTCCAAGGTAAGAAGTGAACGAGTAGGAAAATTGGTTTGAGGGAAGGGAGGATCAGGGATGAAAAAGGAGAATACAAAATAGAATACATACTATAAAAAGTGTATAATGATATAGCCAGAGAATTTAAGGTAATATGCAGTGAAAACGTGTTAAGATTAGGAGAATGAAGTGGTCCTTTACTACTTTATATTCTTAAATTGAGAAACCTAGGTTCATATACCAGCCTTTCTGCTTACTACTTAAGTACCATTGGCCATATCATTTAACCTTACTGAACTTCGTTTTTTCACTTAAAATAAAGACAGCAATGCTTATCTACAGAGATTTTTAAGGACCGACTAGGAAAGCACTTTATAAAGTCTTTCCAAGTATTAGCTGAAAGCTATAAATCCCAAATCTTGGTTGTGGATGGCAATAGAGGACATGGTTGTGATGAGAGTATGTCATTGTTAAGCTAAAGAAAACCTTTAAAGTTTGTCAGAGGAAATAGATACCCAACACCATCTTCACGGAGTTATTCATTATATTATTAGATTCATTTAAATTCTGAGGGCTGGCCTTCAAGTTTTATTAATTTGGACTGTTTAGACTTTTGAGGTTTTCATTTGTCAAAATTGTTAGCTCTTGGGTATTACTAACACAAATATTGATGTGTAGCTTTGGCCTGCTAGCTATCAATGGAAATCAGAAAATCAATAAACTTAATAGCTGTTCATTACACAGTTGATGCATTTGCAGGACTGTGTTGAGTACTGTCAGTAAATAATCAATTCAGTCAAAATCTATTATGAGATCTCTGCCAGAATCTTTTTATAATATGCTATTTTATTTATGACTTTGTATAGCTTCTGCAGCACTTTTTTATGAAGCAACCTTTGTCTTGTGGAATTCATATTGCTGGTAATTGTGGTCTTTCACCCGGCTGGAATCACCTGTCAAGTAAAGTGTTCCTACATCTGCCCTTTCTAGATGTAGCCAAGGCTTATGCCAGCTTCTCCTCTAAGATTAATTTCACCTAGTACATTTACTCAGCAAGTTCCTACTGTGTGTTAAATATTATGGGAGTACACATACCTAGGGAATGAAAAATACATTAAGTTGTACTTTAAGGAGTGTAAAGTAAATCCCATGCTCAGAGTTCAAAGAAACAGCTCTAATTAGTTGAGGTTTGAGAGGGCTTCATAGAGGGTGGCTTTTGAGCTGAATTTTATAGAAGTGAAATTCATTTCAGGAAGACTAAATGAGAGGCACTCTCGCCTAAGGCAAGAACATAAAAGAAAGTATTGAACGTAATATTAATTTATAGTAAGATTTCCAGTCAGTTAGGTTCGAGGGAAGATTTCTGAGGAACACAAATTCCAAGCTGAGATTTAAAGAACAGATAGAGCATTATAGATAAAAGGGAGGAGGATAGAAGTGTTCTAGATAGACAATGGCTTTTAGGAGACCTAGAAACAAAAGAACATGGTTTGTCAAATAACTGAAAACTGAGTGAAGTTTCGTATGGCTGAAACCAAGTGATTCCTACCCACTCCATGGATAGAGGCCATATTGTGCAGATATTTATAAACTTCACCTTAACAAACAAAGCAAAATCTCCAAAAAATGTGATACTGCCAAAGATTTGCCCACAGTGCAGATTTATATAAGTAATACTATGAATGTCTGTTGTCCAAAAACAAACAAATGAACAGCATGAGTTACAGCATCATGAAAGTCCACAGAAGAAAGACTTGCCTGACTCAAGGAAATGGCTTTTTTTGTAAATGAAATAAAATGTGATAATTCTTGTTTTATAGTGGGACTAAGTGTGTTTTCAGCTTATGGAAAAATGTGGGGAATTTCAAGAAAACTTGAATTTCGCTGTCTGTTTTCTCTGTCTGTCTCTCTCAAGAAGGACATCTCACTGTGTTGCCCATGCTGCCTTGACCTTGAACTCATAGACTCAGGTGATCCTCCTGCCTTAGCCTCTTAAATAGCTGGGAACTCAGCACATCCAGTTTTTCAAATTTTAACCAAAAACTTTGTAAAAATATCCCTATAATATCTCAGATTTGGGCCTACATCATTATTTTACAAGTTCTGATTTTACTTCTAAAAACTAATATGTATTAGTCTTTCAGTGACGAGTATACATTTGCTTTGGACTGTACTTCTGAGAGCTTTAGCCAGCTTCAAAGCTGTGATAACCGGATTATGCAACCCCAGTCACCTGGTACCTTGTCGCAAGGTGAAAGACTTTATTTCTGCTCTTCCTGTTTGTTTTCCTTCTCTTCTATTTCTCATCTTTTTATTTCTCCTTCCTGTTTCTCATCCCTCTTGTGTGTGTCTTTCTGCATGTCCCATTTGTGTGTTCACACTCTTTCTATATTTGTTTATCCCTTAGCTCCTATTTTTTTTAACTGCCCACAATTGTTAACTAAACTGTGTTGTATTTTTAATACTTAATAAATATTACTTTCCCTTTTCTTCTTTTTCTTCTTAAATGCATATGGATGGAATATGTGCTTTTCATTCCAGATAATTTCTATTACTGATATGTGCTAACATAAATTATTTTTCCTTTGGTGGGTCAGTGACACATAACTGAAAAAAATTCATTAATCTCATCTCACTGACCATACTCTATAGGTAGGGGGGAAGCTGGTAGAGATCGCCTTTAATACCTGTCCATGTTTGCAATGCTTTTAGCAGAGATGAGGTTGGGATATTTCCCTACAGTTCCTCTGATATGTTATTAAAATAATCTAGGAAGGTTTCCTGGAGGAACCAACTGCTTGATTTCTGACCCCATAACATTACATAGGCAGAAGTGTCTTCTGTGAGCTAGCGTCCACCTTCGTGATACTTACCTGGCCACGCTATTCTCACTGAAGCATCGTTACTTTATTGGCACACACCACATTCACTCCCCTTTCAGAATACATTAGGATAACTATTCATTTTGCAAATAGAGTTAGAAAGTAGTAATATGATACCAGTACAAAAGAATTATCTATATAAAATGTTGTTCGTTTTGGACAGTGTTTTTTGACACCACTAAATAATTGAGATGCTTGTCAGATTTTTTATTTCCTTCATTGTAGCTCTCAGTTTAACAAGACACATCAAGCTCCCCATCCTTCCCATGGTGTTTCTCCAGGAGGCTCACTGTCGCATGCCAACTGTGTCATGTTTTTTCTGTTCACTTACTACACCTTTCCTCTCTATTCAGTTACTGATGGACCTACCACATCGTCACTGACAAAACAGAATCCATCAGACAAAAGCATCCCCATCTGCACCATCTGCACTGTTACTAGTGAACTGGAATTTACTCCTGTCTTCTTTATTCTTACTCTTAATTCTCACGGTTGCCATTTTCTCCCATGGTGTTCCCAGACCTGACTTGCTTTATCAAATACTTTCTGTATTGTTGGTTTCCTATAACTCCAGCATCATTGGTCCTTCCCTGTCTTCTTTATCACTCAGTAACAGGAAATATTTGTGCTGTAGGACTGTGATACTGAATCTTTTAGAGCTTTCAGTGATACACACAACCTGCTGCAGCGCACATGTCATAGGTTCACCACCACTGCTCTAGAATCTCCCATCTTAAAATAACAGCCTTGAATCTAATCACTCTCTGTTCCTCTGTGTTATGGTTGATACACTGTATCGACTTAGGGAGTCCAGAGGTTTAGCCAAGTGACTCAGCAGTTGTCCATTTTGGGGTGAAAAGGACATGCCCTTACCCTTCTGGGATGTTGTTTATTGCATCAATTTGAGAAGTTTAGAAGGTTAACTTTGTGACCCAGCAGGAGCCAGGGTGCTTACTTTGTATTCATCCTGAGCCTGTGCAAGAGGAGGGCGTGGAGATTATGTGAGAGCTACACGCCCCTTAGGTGGGGGCAGCCTGCTTACAATATAAAGGAGGGGAGGAGCAAGCTTTATCTGCCATTCCTCCCTTTTGGCTCTTGTTCCTTTTGCTGTGTTCTGTTACCCTGAACTGTTGCCCTCTGCCATGTGCCCCTCTGCCTTGGAGCTGTCCAAGTATGGATGAAACCTCCACAAACTGTGAGCTAAATAAACCTTTCCTTCCTTGATTCTGGGTATCAGGTATTTTGTCTCGGCAATGAGAAAAGTAACCAAGACACTCCGATAGCCTTCACAGTCAGTTTCTTTCCTTCTGGTTCCTATTACTTTATCTCTTAATCATTAAAATAAAGACCTTTATTGAGATATTCACATACATGTAATTCATACATTTAAAGTATATAATTTAGTAATTTTATTATATTTAAAGAGATGTGCAACCAGCACCACAGAGAATTTTAGAATATTTTCATGACCAGCAGAGAAAACCTGTAGGCAACAACAGCCACTCCTGTCCTGTTCTCATCCTTTCTCCAGTCTTTTTCAGGTTTCACTAAGGAGGTAGTAAATAGACTCCCCACCTGAAATGGAAGGATTTTACAACTGTCTTCCAAAAGCACTGGCACATCATTTGTTGTATTTATTTCTATGTTATTAGGCTATTGAATGGTTATCTTTTTAAAGTTGTATTTTTCATTCATGACTTATCTGAAAATGCAGTTAATTATTGAATATTGATTTTATAACCAAGAAACCATCGTGTCAATACGTGTGTGTACTTTTTTCTTTTTGTCCTTTCATAATTGTTATTTTCTTTCTTGCTTGCTTCTTTCTTTCTTTCTACCTTACTGCACTGACTAGAACCACCAGTATGTAATAGCACTGGTGATCATTTAATATTTTACCATTAAGTATAATATTTGGTTTACTTTTTTCCTTTAGTTTGGGTTAGCATTTTGTGGTTTTGGCTGATCCCCTGCCCCTTTTTTTAAGATCAGAGGTGGCTCCTTTTTTTTCCCCTGTATTTTTATTCTCAAACAAATTTTCAATTTTATCTAAGACTTAGATTTTTAGTTTAGATTTTCTACTATAATCAGAAAGTGTAATGAATTACATTAATATATCTTCTATATAAACTAAATTTGCAGTCCTAGAATAAAGCCACCAGGGTTATGATGTAATATTTTTATACTTCTTGATTTCATTTGTTTATAAATCATATGGTGCATATTTTTGTGTGCATACATATATGTATGTGTCTATATGTGTGTGCATACATGTACTCTTACCAACTTTTTGCATCTGCATTCACGATTTGCTTCTGTAACTTTTCTTTTTTGTGTATGCTATTCCTAACTGGATTTGAAGCCCATCAGCCGAGGAATGGATTAAAAAAGATGTGATACTTTTATACAGTGGAGTACTGCTCAGCTATAAAGAAGAATAAACGAGACATTTATAGGGAAATGGATGCGACTTGAGTCCATACTTATAAGTGAAATAAATCAGTCTCTCACGTGCAAACATCGTATTGTCTCCCTAGTATAAGAAACTAAAAGAGTAAATAAGACCCAAAATGTACAATAGATATTGTGAAATGGGAGGGAAGTACTCAATGGACTTTTAAATATATTATTTAGACCCCTAATTTATACTGGTTTGGCCCACTTCTATTTTGTGGTGAAATTTTAGCATGGTTTATAGCCAACATGATTGGACCACATCAGCTTCTCTTAGAGCTCACAGCCTTTGCAGGGTATCTAACTAGATAAACCCAAAAAAATAAATACGTTCTCTTAGCAGTCAGTACATAGAGGAGCAAGTTAACTGGTCTTTTTTAGTAGAACCCTCCCCCTGCAGTCACCGAACAGAATTTTTGTGGTCAGTAATTACTGTTTGAAGTAGTTACTCGCTTTAAAAATATGTTTACTATATAACAGTGATGGTAAACGTGTTCTGCAGCAGGCTGTTTGTATCACTGAAAGCTCTAAAAAGTTCGCCATCACCATTGTATAAGGTCTTGAGAACGGAACAGCAGAAAGATACTGAAACTTCCCTATAAATCCATTTTCCAAGTATCTGGTCAAATGACTTCCTGGTGTGTGGGACAATAATTGCTTCCAGGGACTTACTTTACTGACTGACTAATCACTGTCTCACTGATTCTGGATTATTGACCTCCTGTGTCCATCTGGCTGCTGGATCAAGCCCTGAGTCATCCTGTAAAAACTCTTCGTGAAATATTTAAATTTAACTGTGGATTTACAGTGGTTTCATTTTCAAAGGTTTATTTTTAGTGCCAAAACTCATACATAATAATTTGGTAACATTAAATGAGTTTAACTAGGCGTGGACTTCTGTTATGCATGTATGTGTGTCTGTGTGTATATAAAATTTATATTTATAATCAGTCTTAGTATTCATCAATTGAGATTTTATTCCTACAGCTTTACACTTTTGCTTGTATTAAAGTGGCTACTTATCCAACATAAGTAATATTCCACAGTTATTCAATTGCAGATTCTTCACACTCATAAATATACCTTATGAGGTTTATAAATCTCAACGTTTCTATGAACTCATGGATTTTCTGCTCAAATTTTAAGATACTACATAATGATTCTCATTTTACCATTCCCAAAGCTCACATATCTTTAGAACACAGGTACGTATTGGTAGCTCATGTGAATTCCTAAGAATTAAAATATGTGAAGTAATAATAGATTGCTTGAAATTACGTTCTTATGCTTAAAAACCATGCCCTAGAGCTACTATCTTCCCACATTGATCACTAGAAGATCTACATGTGAAGTTCCATGTTGGCAAGATTCTGTTTACCGTCTCACCACTTTCCTTCCTTGTACAGCTGCTTTACCCACATCTTCAAAACCCCTTATCCTACTTAATTCCCAGGTTTTAACAACTGCACAACCCTGATCTTTCTATCAATTCCTCACCTCCTGGGTTTTTCCTTCCTCCACACATATCAGTCCCCAAGGCCCTATGCTTTTCTATGTAATAATAAACTTGTCTCTGAAACAGGGATGCCCAGAGGTCGTATTTGCACTTTAGTACAAACCATATCTTAACTTAGAGGAAAGGATAGAAATATAGTCATTTTTATAGTCATTTATTTTTATAGTCATTGTAAATAGAGGCAGACTTGCCTATTATTTTTCAACTCCATGACTTATTGTTTGACATTAAAAAACACTATTAGCAGAAACAAATTGATGGGTAATATTAATATTAGTTGCTAAGGAATACACTAAAATATGTATCTCATTGCCCATTTATTGATTCCTTTTATTTCTTTGTTTATACTCTACTCTGTACCATATCATATCTGAATGGCTCTACTATATGTGTCTCAGTTTAGCGAATGTAAAGATTGGATGTGGTTTGACTTACTGATACGATGTTTTCAAAATAGGTTAAAATGTGCATAGTTTGCCCCACTTTTTGTAAATGGCATCGTCATTATTGGTGGATTTCCAGTTTAAAGGTTGCTCTTCTTTTTTTCTTACAGTAGAATTTTTTAAGGAAATCATTAAGTTTTCTTACCAGTATATTTTAATTGAAAAATTATACAAGTATACATACCATTCATAATTTTGATTTACTGTCATAATATTCATGACATCACGGAGACTTCAGGCTTATCTAAAGCTAGCTGCAATAAATTAAACCAGATAACTATCACATATATTTCTTGATTCAGCCCGATCAATTGTATTTCGACATACAAAAGCAAATTGTAAAACTCCTATTTGCATTCCTTGAAGGAAAAAGCTGAAATAAGATCAAATTATTGGCAAAATGAGCAAATAGGAGATTATAATTATAGATTTCAGAGTACAGTTTAGGCTCCAAAAATATGTTGTTTCTTAAATTATAGTTTGAGGAGTAGAAATTATTCATCCATTTGATTTGGGATCTCCACCCCCAGTTGTGTTCCCTGGGACAGTTAGACTATCTCCAAGTGGTTCAGACTTCTAAATATGTACTCACATTATTTCTAGAGGATGGTAAGGGTAGGAGGGAGGGGAGATAGTAGAAGGCTGGAAAAGGAATACCCCGGAGATACTTAGAAAGAAGTAGTTCTACTGTTCTTTAAAATACTGGGAGAACTATAGTTCATAATTATCTAATATATATATATATTTTTTTAATAGCTCAAAGAAAGGACCTCAGAGTCTCCAAACACAAAGTAATGATAAAAAGGTAGAAAATTAGCTACTGTGATTCAATCAGCACATATTGTACACATGTATTGAAATATAACACTGTACTCTATAAATATGTACAGTTATGATGTGTTAATCAGTTTTTTTAAAGTTTATGAAGATGGAAATGGTAACTGTTCCGACTTGATCATTATACTCTATAAACATGTATCAAATTTTCACGTTGTACTCCATAAAATGTACAAGTAAAATAGTATGCACATATACTCATTTTTGGTTTTTTAAAGCCCTCTGAAACTTGCTTTCTCTA